GCCATGAAGCTGGAGCAAGGAGAAATGCCAGCTGGTTTGCCCTCCATACTTTCACAGCGATTATGCCGGCCAAAAAGCAGAGGGGTGACATGCTCCAAGAGAGTGAAATAGAATCTGACTGCTCTCACTGCGCTCCAAGAGTGAAGAGAAGCTATCCAAGAACTTGATGAGTGTCTTTCCCAACAGGGGCTCCAGTTACGTGTCCCAAGCCCATTACCACTAGCATACCTGCTGTGAAGAGTAGGTGGCATTAGCAGGCAACTTGGATGCAGTTGAAATCCATCCCAGATCTAGGGAGGTCTGCTGAAACAATACACAGGTTTTCCATAGACCAAGTGTTTCTCAACCTTGGTCACGTCTGGGAATTGAAGTTGACAATGACCTTCTACCGCTGCACCATAGAGTATTTAGAAGAATAGTTTTAGAAAAATAGTTTAGTTTGGTTTTCTTTCTTATCATTGCACCTCGTACGATGAAATTAAATGCCATCTTCAGTGTACGTTATGACTGAAAATAAACACAAACGCACATCCTTCGCATCCTATACAATTGAACTGAAAACCCTTTGATATTGCTTGCACTATACAGCAGAATTCAACAGAGCTACTGCCCTGAGATAGAAGCTGTTTTTCAGCCCAGTTGTGCTTGTTTTTATTATACTGTACCGTCTGCCAGATGGTAATAGTTCAAAAAAGGGGGTGCCCAGGATGAGATGGATCTTTGAGAATGTTTTGAACTTTCTTGAGGCAACGGGAGCCATAAAGCTCTTCCAAAGAGGGGAGAGGGCAACCCATGACCCTCTGGGCAATGACGTTAACCCTCTGGAGCGCTGTCCTATAGGTCCCTGTGCAATTGGCAAACCATACAGAGGTGCAGTAAGTTAAGATATACTCTATGGTGCAGCGGTAGAAGGTCATCAGCAGTTTTTCATTCAGTTGTTGTTTTTTGAGAAGCGCTAATCCAAGGAGAGATGTCAATCACTCCCTTCCAAGTGAATGTCTTATCAGATTCATCCGGTTCTCACCACTTCAAGAGAACCCGGTTGTTAACTTGCTGAGCAGTTTGGAGAACTGGTTGTTGGAAGAAATCATTAGGGCAGAGAACCAGTATATTAAATTATTTGAATGCCACCACTGCTTATAACCATGTGACCATTTTGGTCTGTTGTGGCTTTATTTCTGAGATCACTCCTACCAGATCAATAAGGGAGCTAAGTGTGGGGAGACTTAGGGACACCCAAAGGCATCCAACCGTTTAGCTTGACCTTGCATTCTACTTTGTCATCTGTTTTTCACCCCAGGTCATGGGTATCTTGCAAAGTGTCCTAGTTTCATGGGCCAGCTATGTGGGTTTTGGGATTTTTCTTATAAGCAAGCTATTCTTGTTCCTAATATCCTGGCTAGTGGTTTAAGGTGCGAACTTCTGCCTCGCTAAGAATGTACGGTTCCAACCCCTTTCCTATTGCAGAGCAGCTCAAAGCAGCACCCCCACTCCCCACGACCCCCCTCCTTCCGCAGAGAAAAGTAAAAGCAGTTTTAAATCTTTGTCTGAGGCAGCCCCCCCCCCCCCCGCCAACCCCCCCGACCTCCTCTCCTGTAGAGAGAGAGAAGACAGGAAGGAGCCAGGCTGCTTAAGGCAAAGAAATGAAGGCAAGAGAAGATGTTTTTATCAGAATTCATATTCCTCGCTCTCATCTCCATTCCATCCCTACCTGGGTCCTCTCTCCACATATGACCCTTCCTCTGATCCCCCAGGGCCTCCTCTGTACATACATCCCATCATCTCATCCTTCATGTCCCAGGGTCATGTGATCAATCCCTTTGGGGGACTTTTTGACTAGAAAAGTCAACGGGGAAGCCAGATTTACTTAACAACCGGGTTACTAACTTAACCACTGCAGTGATTCACTTAACAACTGTGGCTAGGAAGGTTGTACAATGGGGCAAAACTCACTTAACAAATGTCTCACTTAGCAATGGAAATTTGGAGCTCAATTGTGCTTGTCAGTCAAGGGCTACCAGTATAGTGTTGGGATTTAGAGAGTCATAATGTTGAATAGTCGCTAAAGAAGTGGTTGTAAGTAGAGGAACTATCTATACCTGTTTAATACACCTTAGCCCGTCCCTTGGCTTGAAAGCCAGGCAAAAGCCAGGCTGGATTTCTACTTGGATGGATGTGTTGTAGTTAGGCAGCAGCAGGTGCAGACGGCTAAGGAGAGCGAGGACTCAGATGAGGGGCCAGGCCCTTAGGAAGTGGACTGCTGCATTCAGAGATTGTAGGGGCTGGCAGCAGTGATGAGGAGGTTCCCGAGGAGCCTGTGCCAAGTGCGCGTGCACGCGGGGCTGCTCGCAGGAAACAGCAGCTGCAGCAGCACGGGCAACTCGAAAGTAAGGCTGCAAGGTAATAGCCCCTCCTTCAAGAAGATAAAACCCAGCTGTGAATAGGACATTCTTTGCAGGAAGCAAAAACGTTTTGAAACTCAGCTTCGTAGATATTGCAGTATCTTAAGTTGGTATTTGAAGACTCTTGTGTTATGAAATATTTCTTATCTGTTATTCTTGGCAGCCCCGCACAGTTTTATTTATTTTATTTATTTATTTGGTTTGTCAATTGCTTACAAGATAATAGGTATAAGTAAAAACATAGTTATGAATACATGGATACATATAAGAAAAATACAAAAAATATAAAAGAAACATTAGGACAGGGACGGTAGGCACGTTGGTGCGCTTATGCAGGCCCCCTATGGACCTCTTAGGAAAGGGGTGAGGTCAATAGTAGACAGTCTAAGGTTAAAGTTTTTGGGGTTTGGGGAAGAAACCAGAGAGTCAGGTAGAGTATTCCAGACATCAACCACTCTGTTGCTGAAGTCGTATTTCCTGCAATCAAGTTTGGTGCGATTAACCTTGAGTTTGTATCTATTGTGTGCTCTTGTGTTGTTATGGTTGAAGCTGAAGTATTCATTGACAGGTAGGACATTGCAATGTATGATTTTATATACCATACTTAGATCAGACCGAAGACGGCGTAATTCAAGGTTTTCTAGGTCTAGAATTTCAAGTCTGGTGGCATAAGGAATTCTGCAACGAGTAGAGGAGTGGAGAACTCTTCTTGTGAAATATTTCTGGACTTTCTCAACTGTGTTAATATTCAATACGTAATGCGGGTTCCAGACTGATGAGCTGTATTCGAGTATTGATCTAGCAAATGTTTTGTATGCTCTAGTTAGTAGTGTGATATTACCAGAGAAAAAGCTACGTAGGATTAGGTTAACAACTCTTAACACCTTTTTGGCAATGTAGTTACAGTGGGCTCTAGCACTTAAATCATTAGAGATGAGTACTCCAAGATCCTTGACAGAGTTTGTTGGAGTACTCATCTCTAATGATCTAAGTGCTAGAGCCCACTGTAACTAAATACCCAAAAAGGCGTTAAGAGTTGTTAACCTAATCTTATGATTAGGCGAGGCTTGTGCTTATCAAAGTTAATTAGTTTGCAGCAGCCTTTTAACCAGGGATTCGTAAGAATCATTAAAAGGTTTTTGTTCCCTTTGGTTCGTGTTTGTTTTATTGGAAAAGGGTTTGGGTCAGAACCAGGACGGGAGATCACACAGTCCCAACCTGGGGGGGTGGGTGTAAAACCAGTTCTGAATGATTGCTTAGGAAACCATCCAGAGATCTGTTTGAAGGTGACTTAATTTACATGAAAGGAATGACAGCAGAGCTGAAGGGGCTCAGGACGTGTAAATTGGGCTGGTGGGAAGGGATCTCTTTAAAAGCTTTCTCCTAAGCCACACCGGACTTTTAAAGATCAAATCAAAAGCTTCAGCAGACATAAATCTTGTTGTCAGGGCTATGTCTATATCCTAGGCATGATGGACGAGGCTACAGTGAATAATTCAAGGTGGAGAAGAGGCCAAAAAGTGTGTGAGAAAAGCCATTTTTGGGGGGAGGGGCAGAATTTGGTAGACTGGGGAGTTCAATATTAGACCTTAACAATATATCTTGGGATTATCTTGGGATTCTACACTGTACAGGAGAAATAGGAGGGAGGGAGAGAGAGAGATGGGGAAGCTCAAAGAACAAGAGGCAGATCCAGAAGAAGATGGAGACAACATCGAAGATACACTACAAAAGCATCAAATGACAATGGTTGAGGCCACCAGAAGAGTAAGAACCAGAACTTTGTATGTCCCTTGGTAGCCGAAGTGGTAAAAGAGGAGGAGGAGGAGGATGTATTTTTTAACAGCCCCCTTTCCTTAAAAAAAGGACAAGAAATGTACTATTATTTTTAGAATAGAAAAAAAAATTGTCACTTTAAATGTACACGAATCAGCATAATAACAGACGCGGTGGCTAAGACACTAAGCTTGTTGATCAGAAAGGTCAGCAGTTCGGTGGTTCAAATCCCTAATGCCGCGTAACGGAGTGAATTCCTGTTACTTGTCCCAGCTTCTGCCAACCAAGCAGTTCGAAAGCACGTAAAAATGCAAGTAGAAAAACAGGGACCATTTCGGTGGGAAGGGAACAGCGTTCTGTGTGCCTTTGGCATTTAGTCATGCCGGCCACATGACCACGGAGACGTCTTTGGACAGCGCTGGCTCTTCAGCTTTGTAACAAAGATGAGCACCGCCCCCTAAGAGCCGGAAACGACTAGCACATATATGCGAGGGGAATCTTTATCTTTAATCAGCACACATTAAAATGAAATTTAGTTGCATTCAGCTCTCAAAAGGGTAACCATTATGCCTATACCCACCCACCCATATCATATCATATCATATTTTCAGCCATCGTATTTGAGGTTCGGAAAGTCACAAAAATCTGGGCTTAGAGACAGCATGTTGGAGAAGGTAGATAGATACAATTTTAAATATAGATATATATTGGGACATAACTTCTGCCAAATGGGATACATGTCAGCCCTGTGGTGGTCCAAAGGAAGAATCCAACACTCGCTCTTGAGACCATCCATGCCAATGTTGAGTTGTGTTCACTCACCTATCACAATGCACGTGAATTTGGCATCGGCGTCCTTCGAGACGGCGTAGGATTTGAGAGTTGTTTCAAAGACGGGCTGGGTCTCTTCGGTCAGCTGAGCAATGATTGCACAGAAGGTACCCCTAAAAAATATCAAAGGACCCCAATTAGAAGTTGAGCGAGCTGGGTTAAGGAGAACTTGGAAGAGCCATCTTCTCTCCAGACGCTTCCATTGAGTACTCAACACATTTCTAGCTGTTGGAAAATGTCTTCCCCCTTTCTTTAGAAACCTTCTGGAGAACTTAAGAGGCAAAGCACTGCAATGAAGCAATTCCAAGTTCATTCCACAGTTGAACAACTACAGGAACATTGCAACACACAAACTCATCCTGGTCATTCCAGGGGACAGATGTTGCCGCTGGGGCCCAGCAGCTGTAACATGGCAGACACATGGAAAGAGGCAACTGAGGGGGCAGCATCACCGACTAGGGTCTCTAATTGTCTTTAAAACTGATGCCGTTGGTTTGGTACTAACTTTGTAATTATTTGTCTCAGAGGATCAAAAGAAACAGGGCTGGGGTTGTGGCGAAATATTAAGAGGCAACCCAACTTCTCACGCGGAGAGTCCTACCAAATGGATCGGGAGAAATGCTCACCTAGAGGACAAGGACCTTAAAACTCCGTTGGAATATTTTACTTGAAATGATGCACGGGATCCTATGTTATGCATGTTTACTTGGGGGGGGGGCAGGGAGGTCTCATTGGTTTGAATGGGGCAAAGCCGATGAACAGTTCTGGACCTGGGTATGTCTAACGAAGAGAAGGATCAGAGGGAACAGGATAGCTGTCTTCCAGGACATGAGGGGTTGACAGAGAAGAAGAATTGACTTATTCCCCAAAGCACCAGCGGGCAGGACAAGCAGCAAAGGGTGGAAACTTATTACAGAGAGATCAAACCTAGAACTAAGGAGAAATTCCCCGACAGTGAAAACAATTAATCAGTAGAATAGCTTTCCACTAGAAGTTGTGGGTGTTCCATCAATGGAGGTTTTTAAGAAGAGATTGGACAGCCATTTGTCTATCGGATAGGGACTCCTGCTCGGGCTGGACTAGAAGATCTCTAAGACCCCTTCCAACTCTGTTATTCTGTATTCTGTAAATAAATAACTATGGACCATGGGCCAACAGGGAGAGTTTTTCCTCTCCCAGACTAGAAGTCAACCTGAGACACTAATCGATATCTGTTTTGGGAACAGTCTGTTCAAAAGCAAGAACTCCAACACCTGCTGTTGATGATTCCTGCAGATGTAGATCCGAGCTGCCCATGGGGGTCCTCTTTTATCCAGATGTACAAGTGAACAATGCCAATCGTGTAAGGTACATCAGACTCCACTACAACTGACAATACAGGATGACAGCACCTTTTTTGGGGTTGCTGTACTGCAATGCAATGGAGATCTATTATCGCCCCCCCCCCCCAAAAAAAAATTAGCTCAGCCTCTTTCTGAAATGAAAATTCAAATGTGAGAAGAAATCTGGAAGTGGAGAATTTCACAAGCATTGCCCATTGTGCTTAAAGTCATCACCTCTGACTCAAGTGTGAAAGTCTTGACATCCAGAATGAAGCAATGGTCATCAATGCATCCTTCTCCGTTCCCATTGCGTGTCAAACCCAAGGGTACCTTAATAGATAGGATGCTGCTACCAATGCTTCCTTCTGTATTCCTGTAGCTGAAATATCTTTAGAACAGTGATCCCCAACCTTTTTTATGCCGCGGCCCGGTACCGGCATCAGCTGGGCGCCGCGGCCCGGTACCAGCATCAGCTGGGCGCCGTCATCTTTTTTTGATGAAAAAGTGCTTCCGGTGACCTCACCGGAAGCACTTTTTCATCAAAACAAGATGGCGGCGCCCAGCAAACCAGCGGCCCGGTAGGACTTGTTCCACAGACCGGTACCGGTCCGCGGACCGGTGGTTGGGGACCCCTGCTTTAGAAGGCAGGGTCCAAATGATATATGCAACATAGAAGGCAGCAACACCATAGAAAGAAGGGCATTCGAGCTGTTATCTTTTTTAAAAAAATAATTTATAATAAAACCAAAATTCTTTCTGGCCTCAGCTTGGTTTTGTCAATCAATACAGGAATAACCTTTTAAAAACTGCACTCGGAAAACTAAATGGGCCGCAGAAATGTGATGCTAGGAGATAGGAATCTTAAATATTTTTCTAGTCCCAACTGTAAACTAGAGAACTAAACATGTGTTTTCAGGAGGAAAGAGACACACTGAAATTCCCCGAAGTCCAAATTCTTCATCCCGTATCAGGTTTCCACACAATGTGGAAGATATGTACAGCACAGCCTTGGAAAAAAGAAGTACTGTCCATGTTATGTCTCCTTGGTCCTCTCTTTTTCCTGGTTTTAATCCCTATTTTTTTTTTCCCTTCCATGGTTATAGCATGTTCTCTGGGAATTGCATTGCAGCCGAAAGTTTTGTTTTGCACAACACAGAGTTTGTTGTCCCAGTTGCTTTCATGCATTTGTGTGTGCACACCCACTCCGTTTGTGTGTGTGGGGGGGGGGGGGGGGAAGGGGGGGGGGGGGAGGGGGAGATGATGAAATCACAGAATCCCCAGGCTTTGCTTGTGCAACTATGCTAACGTAAAGAAGATCGTGCATGGATAGAAACGGGTGCAAATTCATCTCAGACGAAAAATGCTGGATGATAAAAGAAAGCACGTCAGACTGCAGTCTACATTCACGGTGCAAAAAACAACGCCTACGGCTTTTGTGCAAGCCCACACACTCCACACAGTGAGAGGTCGTGCGCAAACAGTGACAAATCAAGTCGCAAAGTGTGTGGATGGGCTATCCAAGATTGCTTGGGGGGGGGGGGGGGGAACAGATCGAGTGAAAATATATTATCCCTTTCAGGATAATACATTTTCAAGGTTACAGCTCCTATTTTTTTAGTCCCTTCGGACAAGACTCCATCAGCCAACTTGCAGAAGGCATGCTTGGCCTGCCACAGATCCTTGGGCTCAACTCTTGGCATCTCCACTTTGAAGGATGGTACAACAGGTGACAGAAAAGAATCTTTGCCAGGGATCTTTAAGAACCGATGCCCAGTTTGGATGAACAACTGATCATCGGCCGGATCTGATTTAGGGGAGCTTCCAAGGTTTATGTTCTCCCCTCTAGAAATTCAGCACTGTTCCCTGGTGCCTCACTTCCACCTTGACTGTCCCCATTACGTTTTCAGCAATGTCATGTTTATTTTGCAACAAGGAGCAAGATGGGGGAAGAATAAGGTTGGCAAGGAATCCCAGCAACCCCTAAATTCTGCCCCCTTACCAATAATCCCGTCCAAGTTGATTGTAAAGGACAAGCATTGATCTGGCTGAAAAATCCAGGGTGGCCTCTCTTTACCATTTCCTCCTTCCTTGTCCACCCTGTTCAAGGTGGAAAGCCACCTATCTAAAGGAGAAAGCTTGTTGACTGGAAGATCCTACAGAGAAACGGTTCTCTGCTCTGTGAAATTAAGCTCTTGGCCAATGTAGTCTAGTTGTTGAGAAATGGGCCGTTTTCTTGCAGACGTTTCGTTACCCAGCTAGGCAATGGCATCACTACTGGAAGGGAGTGAGCTTTGCTCTCTGTTTATATATAAGTAGTTTGCCCTGTCAGTATTGGTAGGAGAGTTCTTGGTAGTTCCTGGATTGGACTGTTGTTTACTGTTTGATTGTTTGTCTAAATCGGTAGCTTCTTGATTGGAACATTGTTTACTGCTTGATTGTTGGTCTAGTGTCAATCTTGGTGCTTGTTGATCACTGAACAAGAAAGTGTTTTAGTCTTTTTGTTTCCTTTTTAGCTTTTTGGTTTGTCTCTTTTGAACCATCAATGCCTCTCTTTTGGAAACTCTATAATACAAACAGAAAACAAACCTAACATTGAAGATGTTACATAATTGGGTAATAAAACGTCTGCAAGAAAACAATCATGCTCAGAGAACACCAGGAACCCAACAATTCAAGTCTAAGCTACCGATATTCTCTTTTATTTGGCACTACTTGGACCAAGAGTCTCCAAACTTGGCAAGTTTTAAGACTTGTGGACTTCAACTCCCAGAATTCCTGAGCTAATGTGACTGGAGGAGGAATTTTGGGAGCTGAAGTCCACAAGTCTTAAAGCTGTCAGATTTGAAGACCTCAAGGCCCAGATTCAAATCTCCATTCAACCCAGGAGAACTTGAGTGATCTCCTTCTTCCAGCCCAAACAAGCTTATAAATCAAGGCTCTTCAAACTTGGCAAGTTTAAGGTTTATGGACTTCAACTCCCAGAATTCCTGAGCTAACATGACTGGAGGAGGAATTCTGGGAGTTGAAGTCCACAAGTCTTAAAGCTGTCAAGTTTGAAGACCCCTGTATGTAAATCTATTGCCAGATTTGAGCAAGGACCTCTTTCCAAACTGAGCCCCGTGTCTATGAAGCAGTTGGGCACTTGGTCCTTCAGCAAACAACAACTTGGCTTTAATGAACACTGAACAGAAACAGGTGGGGGGTGGGTATAAACTCCCTGGCAAAGTAGGCAGAGCTGTTAGTACCCCTGGACAACAGTGAGCCACACCAAAGTTTGGATGCCATCGAGTTGCAGTTGGGCAAGACGTAGGAGAAGATTTACCTTCCATAGCTGGTGGGGGACAACCGCCTGGGTAACAAGCTAAGCAGAAACAGCAAACAAAAGGATTAGGCTTGAGAGAGAGAGAAAAGCAGAGAAAAGAGATGAAATCACAGCATACTTGAAACCAATCTTCTGGCCGAGGTCAAGGATATTAATATAATTCAGCTGCTTCTGACGACCAGGGAGGATAAGCAAAGGAGGTTGACCATGGTAACCGAAGCTCTGAATGAAGAACCTCATGGAGAGGAGCATAAGGCAGTTATCACAAGGCCAAATGTTCCCTCCCTCCCAACCACCAACAAAGCCCACTAAATTCTACAGAGGAATGATAAACTCAATCATCTTCACCTCTATAACTGTCTGGTTTGGTTCTGCAACCCAACAGGACAGACACAGACTCCAGAGAGTAATTAGGACTGCAAAAAAAAAACACCACACACACAATTCCTATCAACCTGCCTTCCATCGA